TAGCAGTCTAACTCATAAACGAAAAGTCGTACGAAACTGATATTACATATTTAAGATAGGTAATTAGAGTGCTACCAATGGGTAGTTTCTCAACAAGCGTGTTTCATTTGATAATATTTCTATGTACACATTTACTTGATGTATTCATACTAATACAGTTGTAAATATCATAATAAAAGTTAAAAGGTTAAGATATGCCTCAGATGTGGCAGCAACTTTTTCCTCAAAATCGGCTATACAAACACTAATTCGGCTAAAACACAGTCAATGGATCATAATGAGACTACTTTTACGTACAACAAAAGTAAATACAACAAGAGCCCAATGTTTATTAAATGTCACTTAATGACTTTTTTTTAATTAACAGAAGATACAGTCCGTGGTACAGACCCCTTTTTATCGAATTATTAACATCCGGCTGAAATTCCGTTGATAAATTTATCTCATCGTAACCTACAAATATTTTATTTACGAAAATTCTCAGAATTGTGGCGTTTTCAATATGAAGATCGGCAAACTTTGTCTATTTAACTAGGTACTAAAAACTGGTAAATACTCACAGCTTTAGAAAATATGGAAGCTTACAAATAGAAATATTTTTTCCTTCCATTACAAACCTAATTATGTTTTACATATTCATTCCAAATCAAGTATATTGAAAGACTGATCATAAATTAACTTGAATACGGTTCTTTTTCTTTTTTTTTTTTTACATACGTTGCCTTGTATTTCTTTTTCTCCAAAGCAATTAGTTTATATATATGAAAAAAAAACCATTCAGGCTGAAGCTCCTTTCCTCTAAAAAAATTTAATGCTGGCTCCGCTAGTGCTTTTTGGTAATGAAAAGATAGCAATAAAATGTGGGCAGTGTGTCGAACGAAACCATTTACGTAGAAAGTAAACCATTGGTGACGGAACGGAGGCCTTCGAGCGCCCAAACTGGAAACTATCTAATTATGAAAGATCTTTAAGAGTTTAGAAACAAGGCTCACTTGTGATCGATCGGAAAACATTCCGGCAATGAACTATTACCATTTGTGTGGCGCAAAGGTCGTTAGTGCGGTCGAAATGGAGCAGTGGGGCAGTGAAGGTGTCTCTGCTCCGCTCATATATCAACGCGGAACGTAAACAATATATTAGACGATTTATTAATAATAATAATTTATTAATACTGATAATTATCTAAAATAAAAAAAAATGGGTTGAGGTTGAATTGTATAATATATTCCTGTCTCATCCTATTCCAATTCCTGTCCCAAAAACAGTCAGATACCAGATAACCTTTTATGTAAAATTACATATTATTTATAATAACATATTCACATATAGCCCATAACCTAAATACTTAATATAGATTCTAGATTAGACATTCTTTTCTTTTTTTTTTTATTTTTCAACAGAAACACAGATTTTACTGCTAAGAAGAATTTACATTTATTTTTTCTGTATTTTTTACTTTTTCTAAAATGGTTTATTCATATTTTAATATTGTACATAGTTTTAAGTATCTTAGTATGGTTTCAAGAGTTTTTTATATAGATTTTTTAATTTTATTTTGCATATAGTATGTATAACCAATATTTTTTTTTATTTTTTTTTTAATGATCTATCTTTATCTTAACTTTTTATTTTTGTTTTTATCTGGCCAGATATAAAATTTTAATTTCTGTACTTTTTTGTTATTCTGATGGGACTTCGTCCCAGAGTAAAATTATTTTTCTATTCTATTCTATTCTATTCTATATTTTACCTGAATACAAGTTCAACGTTCAATAACGTGGATTATAATAATAATTACAAAAAAATAGAAGTGTAATTCATATGCAGGATATTATGAAAATTTAATCAAGATTTTAGAATTAATTATGGAGCGGGGTACCTGATGATGATTAGTAATTTTTCATCAGTCGTGCATCCACCCTCGCGTCGGGAGACCCTACCGGGGCACACACAGCCTCAAAAAAGTGATAATGTTAATTAAATAATTAATCAAGGGATGAAAACTGGCGGTTTAGTGTGAATAGTTGTCATCTACCTGCACAACCGTTGGCCATGTAATATTACTTTCTCACATAGTACTGCACCCAAGACCCTTCATGAGTTATGGTAGTAAAGTTTTTCAAATTTTTTTATTATAATTAATTATTGAAAGAACGTATAGATGGACTTGAAAGAGATAGATTTTAATATTTATGGACCAATTGAAAGCAATATAAAAAATAAATCCACATTACAAGAGTTAGAAAAAAATTATTATTAATTAGAGTTAAAAAAAAATAATTTATACGGCTTGTTTTGTAGCACTGTAAAATCCAAAAAAAAAGTGTTTTAATCATAAAATATTTTTTTCGTTTTGATATCAATCTCAGCTCGTTGGTCAAATTTTAAGATTTGAGTTTACATTAAATACTAATGAAAATAAAATTAAGCTAAAGAAAAAGTAACTTTATGAGGGAAATATCTCTACAATATTTTATAACATTCTAATTCGGATCAGTAGCACTCTACTTGTTCAAATTATTATATTTTAGATTACATTGTATGTATATATAATTTGATTTAATTGATAATGGGCCAGTTTAAACTAGTTTCTCACTTTTTGCATAACGAGCCATTTTTAAATATATGTATACAAAGGAAGATGTGTTTGCGCATGTCAAAGAAAAAGATGCCATTTAAAATTAATATTAATATAATCATTTAGGAACAATATTATGATAATTAACTTTGAAAACGTTTTTTGAAAATTAGATTTACACTGGTAGGTGCCCGTTGCTTGGAAGGCAGATTGACATAAACAGTTTTTTTTCGTTAATTGCTTTCGTATTTATTTATTTATTTGGTATACGGTTTTTTTTTGGCCATCAGTTTCCTTATTTTTATTAACTTTGAATTTCTTCATTGGATATACTTATCTGATCTTTCAATCAGGCCTTTTAATCCACTACTCTTTGTTTTTAAATTATAGTTTTCATTTCATTACTAACTTATTATTTTTATTAATACCTTTTTATGTCAACTCTACAGCTGTTTTCAGTAATACTGCTAAGGTATGCAGGTATAGTTATAATTGTTAAACTAACCATTTAGACCCACCTAGATTAAGGATGAAGCTGATTGGGTTGTTTATCTTAGCCCTGTATTAGCACACAATCGGTTTCCTGTTGGACTGACTCATCCTGACGTCTGGAATGTATTTTGCCTAGACGGATCCAGTCAGTCCATAATAGTATAATAGCACCAGCATTCTGTTGTCCTTTAGAAGACTCATCGACGGTAGGCAATAAGAACTTCGTAACTCCATTTTGGTAGACTTGCATGCCGCTTTTGGTATTGTATGTTGTATTGTCTTTAATTGCCATGCTTTTGTATTATAAAAAATAATCAAACTATATTAATAACAGTTGTTAATTTCCTGACGGACCAACGGAATAAATCTGGACCTTCTCTATCTTTCTACAATACATTTTTAGATTATCCCACTTGTCCTGAGCGTCTGTGGCTCTAGTGCCCTCTTTCAGTCTCCACTGGCTTCTAATACTAGTGATGCGGCTGGAAAAGTGGCACTGGGATCTCCTGGAGTCTTGCTTTGCCTTCCACATGTGGGGGAAAAAGCCTGGCTCGGAGATTCCCGGGCGAAGGTATATATTGTATATAGGTATGATTGTGTTTAGAAGTTTCTATTTTATGTTATTTGTTTACTTTTTTTTACTTTCTTCATCAGTATTATTTATTTACTTTTTATATTTATATTTATTTCTCTATTATTTGTATATATTGTATGAATGAGAACTCTTAGCCCTAATACTTATAGCCCTCCAGCAGTGGCTGATTGTATTATTATTCAATAAATAGATTATAATACCCGAAAAAAGATTATTCCGTAGCTTCTTGCCATGGTTAAAACATTTTCGATTTTATTATTTTTAATAAGCTATGTAAAATTCAACAATGAAAATATGTTGCATTAGAGAATACATGGAATTTCTGCAATTTTTTTTATTTTTAGAAGTATGCAGTAAATCTAAAAATCAGTATTCCTGTGATCAGTATAAGTGATGAAAATCTTAAAATTAAAATCCGAATCTCTTTAATTTCCTTGCGGAAGATATATTAATTAGTAATGATCTTAGTCTATGAATCAACGAAACCGAGCGGGAAAAAAAACGAAGCAGAAAAAAACACTGTTGACATTAAAATTGAAAACTTCCACTTGAATTTTGTTTACATATTTTATTTTCAGATATCAAGGAACAAATTAGTTCAGTATTATATTTATCTGTAATCATATCCATGTTATCGGCATAATACCACCTTCCATTGATCTGATTTTATTGAATTTTTAAGGGATTTTATGAATTCGTAGATTGATGATCCTATTTTATTAAATTCCATAAAATAACACGTTCATTTTGGCCCAAAGTTGGAAGATAGTTAATGATTAAAGTAAAAATAATCTATATTAATTTTAATGAATTGCACTAATCTCATTCACGATATGCAAACGTATTGTCCTAGACATTGTTATATTTTAAAAATGTATTGTCTGATTTGCTCCATAGTTGGGAAACTCTTCAAAATAAACAATTGCATTAAATTGCACAATATTATTTCTCTAACATTTTCGTTGTTTGAATATGTTTTATGCTACCTTTTTGTAGTTTATATTTGATTTTTCTCATGTTGCCAATAGAAACAGGAGGGAAACTGCATACTTGGTAACGTTTTATAACCTCTTTCTATGTTTTTTTTTTTTTTTTTTTGTGTGTGTGTGTTAGTGGGCTTATTAAGACAGGGTTCTAACTTCAGAGTTGGTGAGATGTTTTAAATGTGGGATATGTCAAGGTCGTTGTGAATAATATTGCACAGATAGGAATTCAGATTTCATAGTTGAATAATAGATACAGCTTTCACAAGATGGTTTCGTTATATCAGCATTTACAATTCATTTTCAATGTGTCCTTGTGATTTTGAGATTCTTATCGCCTCTTATTCGGACCATGTCTCTCACTGTCGAAGGAAAAAATATAATTAAGCAGTCCTATCGGACCAGCTACTCGAACCTTCAGAGGAGTCAATTTAATAATGAGCCTGCCAGGAAGAAATCACCATTACAGGATGGGATGACATTAGTGAGGGCTATCTTTGGACTGACACATCACGACTTAATAGGGTCCCTAACCCTTCGGCGCCCATCAGGGGCTTACTTCCACCACTAATAGAGTGCGGTGGCTGCTAAGGCGCTGTTTCGTAAGTAATAATGATATCTGGATAACGCAGTCCTTTGCGTAATAGGCGAGCCTTTTTATTCCCGCAGCCTTGATCGGCCCAGGAAATTGGTAGGTCTTGAACAGTTCCAATTCGTGTTCGAAATCTTTTGCTACGTTGAGAGAGCAACTTTTATGACAAGATCATTATTGCATTACCCGAAGTAAGATAAGCATATCTATAGGAAATACTATTCCATGAAACTAAAACCTAGCATATCGAGCACCAGGAAAATGTGATGTTAATTCATGTCTATTCAACATCCTAATGAGCAGGGTATCCTGTATAGAAAATTTGGAATGTTTGAAAAAATAAAGATATATCTGTATAGAAAAAATTTAGGTTGTATCGTGTTTCACCTTACATTTATATATTAAACGCTTTCAATTTATATGACACCGCTTCGGTTATCATTCTATCCTCAGGCCAATCTAAAAAAATATATAAAAATGATGATTTTACTTCTTCTTCTTCTTTGTGTTCCTCTTATGCCATCAATCAGCGTCGAGGAGCCTCAACCAGTGCAACCACTCTTCCCGGTCCGTGCTTAGTCGCTTCATCTCATTAAAGGTTTTGCCTCTTTTACATCCAATCCTTTGAATGTAATCCTGGAACGTGAGTCTGGGACGTCCGCGTGGTCTCCTTCCTGTGGGTCGAGCCTCTAATATCCTTATAGGATTCAAATTCTCATTCATGCGGCAGACGTGTCCAAACCACTGGAGTTGCCGTCTTTCTAGAGTAGTTTTAAGTTCGGCAACTCCTAGCTGCTCTCTAATGCTTTCATTCCTAATGCGATCCCTTCTAGTTCTGCCAACAGATCTGCGAAGGAACCTCATTTCTGCTGCCGTTATGCGACTAGAGTGCCTGTCTAGCATTGCGCTACTTTCACCGCCGTAGGTGAGTGTAGGTAGGTAAACAGACTTATATACGTGCATTTTGGTCTTCTTGTCTACTTCGCGATGGCCGATAATATGATTTTACATGTTTCAATTTTAATTAAATAGTGAATTTAGTGATCAATAATATTGAGCAATGATAAATAAATAATTGTTTGTTAATCTCCTATTGTCCAGATAGCAAAAGATCTACAACGCCTTTAACAATATTCTGGGGCAATATAGGGCTTCAGTGGGCGTCTTGGGCCGACGAAAATATAAATAACAATATTCTACAGCAATAAAATAAAATTAAAAATATATACAATATGAGGCCAGAGTTAGATTAGCCTGAAGAATGCGTAAGGGTTAAAACGTTGCTATGTAAAAAAAACGCTTTGAATAAATAAATATATTTTGCCCTGAAACGGGACATCTCTGGTTGTTGTAAAGGTTTTGAGGAGGGGGAGAAAACAGCCTAGTCAGCGATCTTATTTCTGATTTTTAATATTATTAAATATATTACAACTCTAATCCTTCACAATGTTAACCATGTTCCACTCCTTTTCTTTATACATGAAATTTATAACTGTTTAAAAAAACGAAAATACGTCTAATAAAAGTGACTCATGTCATCAAAGGACCTGTGGAGAAACTGCCTATTGGTAGCACTGTAGCGCTCTTTCTTTTTTTAACATTAAAAAGATCGGGGCAAGAAATATTATCTTTTATTGATTCATCGATATATAGATCCCTACTTGATATATACAGAAAGATATATAAAGCGATATATCACTATTATAAAATTTAGTATTTATGTATCACTAAATTACGTCATTTCTCTGATATAACCGTATAAATGTGTAGGTATCTCCGATACTACATTATTTATGAAAATAATTAGAAATTAATTTCGAGCCTACTTTGAAAATGATGTTAGTCAAACATGGTTACGTAAACCGACACAGCTGAAGAGATCCTAATATGAAAAATGTATGTTGATGCAATGGTAGCAAAGCGTTGTGCGGAGATCTACACTTCGTAACCAGTTAGGAACGATCAGTGGACCGGTGCTAAGGAAACAATTTGAAATTCTTAAAATACAGGATGCACGGTCTCTAGAGATAATCTGATTTACAGATAGACCTAATTAATGTGGGCCAACGAAGCGTTTTAGTGGACCCAACGAATAGTCCGTCGTGTATTTCTACTGTGTTAGCACAGCATTAGAGTTAGCATAGCAAGCTTATGTTAGCATTTTACATTTATATTTGACACGTAGTCAATTTTTTTAATGTTTTTTTCTTTTCACCAGAAATTATATTGTGCTCTGAACGTAAAATTTAACTATTCAATTTTAATGCTGGATATAAAACAATGCTGAGGGTTTTGTACAATCTGAGCTATGAATGAATGAATCGTAATGATGGCAATTATTCTAGAGTTATGTTAACTTACAGTATTATACTGTATTGATTAATGTCCAATAATGACTCTATATTTACAATATACTATGGTATAATTTCCTAATCATGAGAGTAAAGTTCTATAGGGTTTACTAGATAAACTATACAATGCTGAATAAGATACGCCGAAATTAATAGGGTTTGCAAATGTGCATTATAGCACTTAATTTGAACTTAAAAATAAAAAAAAATATTATTCTATCTTAAGTATTCTCAATTTTTATTGATTCAATATCATATTATGCTATGTATCGTAGAGATTGACGTCTGGATTAAAATTTATTTATGGAATTAAAATAAATAGATTTAGTCTAATAGAAGGTTACTGAGGGCTTTTGACCCGCAGTCTACTAAGGGGTCAATAAGAATAAATCTGGTGACCTAAAGGGCGGTCAAGTTAGGGACAACAGTCTGAGAAGTATCCTAGTCAAGGTTAGAGAGATCCTAGGAGATGGCCATCCAGTATTGAGAGAGCCGAATACAGATAAAAGGACTGGCAAGAAGGACTTGAGCGAAGTGTACTTAGGGGCTTCGTCAGGGATGGCGATCCAGATGAAGAGGAAGCCAGAAACGAACCTCGAGATGACGGCGAAAACAAAAACCACAACAACAACCAGAAAGAAGTAGCTGATTCCACCAGATAACTACCCGGACTTAGGAAATGTACTTGCATATCTTCTTAAACACATTAATAGATTATTAAAGAAATAATGGCTACAAATATTTAAAATTGATTAGCCGGGTTCTTCCTCTACTCAACGACGAGAATGTAGATTTCATTTCATTCCAGCATCATGCATCTGTGGATATCAACAGATGCATGAGTCTAAAGTTTTGTTTATGAATTAATATACTAATATACTAAGTTTAAGTATTCAACCGTCAATTTCACCAACGATCTACCAATCTGTTTAAGTAGATATGCAATTACATTATCTTAGGATGAAAATGGTTATTCCCATAGTTCTTTTTTTTTATTATTATAATTACATAGTAGAATTAATTTGTTGGTATTTTTAGCATGTTAGTCCCAAATTACTATTCAAATAGGTTTTAATCAATGAGAAGGCTAACATCAATGCTTTGAAAACATTTAGGGCAGATACCAATACCTAACAATTATATTAAAATTTAATCACACTTTGCTTGTGGTGGTATGCAAAGTTATTGGGTAGAGCTCTGCCCATTAAACATTCTGCGTTCTTCCCAAATCACTACCGATCCGTGGGTGTATAATAGTTAGCTTTCGGCGCCGGTTAAGTCGTCAACAATTAAACCGTCGATGTATAATAAAGTTGGCCGTTCCTATTAGGGTCTTATAAGTAGTGTTTGTGCCGCAGAGTTGTGTTCTAACATTAACATAACACGTCAGCTGTTTTCTGGAACAATGAGAGCGGGGTTGACATTTAAGTATCAATCAAATATAAGTTTATTCTAAATTAGCATATATCTATATTCATTACGGCTTATTGTTAGGCGGATGTGGACCGCTTTACAATAGCTCACACATAAAATGTTGGGTGTCTATATTGTGACCTTTAGCATTCGATCGGTGTCGTTTCTTTGGCTGTGTTATTAAACAAGCCTATACACCTGGTGTTTACCACACCCGGAAGGCTGGTATTTCTCGATTCTACCATGTATTTACCTATCATAACTAACAGCTATGGAGATAGTCTAATCTCGAGAGCTGCAGGGCTGCTGGTTTTTATTTGCTAAACTGATTCATGGAAGATACCGATAATAAATGATACAAATCATTCCATGTTTTTTTCTAAATCGCAATATGTTCTTACCCTAGGGTACTATAAATTACAAGACAATCATGGCCACGTTAATGATATATTCCAAAACATTATACCTACTTACGTACACTTCTAATTCTAATAAGAAATTCAATAATGAATTAATCATTAATATAATTGCTCGAAAACAAAATGTACATTGTTTTAAAATTGCCGACGGATTCATTCAACGAAAGGGATGACATCTAGAAGCCATTTTAAATTTTAGATAATCCTTATATTTGCATACAACTCCAGTAAGTTGGTTGAAAACTATGGCTTTATAAATGAAAATTCAAATTTGACAGTTCATTAAAATGGAAAAATTGATGGCTAAAATTTTGATAAAGTGTATAATGTGTATCTGTAACAAAGAATTTGCTTGACTGACGGCGTTAAAGTCACCAATAAAACTCAGTCAACAGTCGCTGCATATGGCCAAAATGTAAGTAGTCGGTTTCCCTGAGTCTCTGCATATGTTTTTAACGAACTTTTTTAAAATATATGTTTATTGAGAAAAATATATTTGCGTGAGTGATATTTCATAAAATTGTTGATGTAACATTTTTATATAATTTCACTAACTTTAAAAAGACGAAGAAGAAAAGTAAATCTGGGATATTTAGTCCTCTAAGAATAATTAATTTGAACAAAAAGGTTACATTTTTCTGGCATTATAAGGAAATAAAAAAATAATTAGTTAATCTAATAATCTAACGTTTCATCTTGCTTTGAGCCAAATCAAACGATTCATTTTTGAAATACAAGTTTGTCAAGAAAAATAAGTTTGTAAGCGATAATAGGAGATGAGATTCTAAGTAAATCA